TTGTATATTAAAGTTGCTTATATCTACGAAAGCGGAGAATATTACATTCTGTTTATAGGTTTGGTTAGCTGAATGTGTCCTCAAAAAAACAACAAAGCAGGTTATCCATTGAGTTCAATTCATGAGCCACACAGCTTCCCTCCACCAGAAAAGTTGGTCAGGCACTGTTCACAGAACATCAGAGCACATCCAAGGGTGGGGAATTATCACCTGTAAAAGTGTCCCGTCGTAGTATTCTGTAGCCCCACTTCGGGTGCAGTTGCGTCAGTAAACACCGGTTGCGGGCTCGTGGGCTTAGATGGAACCGTTGTCACAAAAGCTTGTGGGGCTACATTACCCGACAAAGCAGAAAATATATCGCCGAATGAGTGTGTCTGCTGAACCGTAGCGTAGGCTGGACTGTAAGGGGACTTGGGTTCTGCTTGCGTGTGAGCCAGATTTGCAGTAGTCTGGGCGTTAGAAATCGGTGGGTTTCCTGACGGCTGCGATGGCTCTTGCTTTACCTGGACGAGTATTGAGAGGGGCACATCATCCAGCCCGACTTCCTTTGTCTCGGCCGGAGATGGACTTTCGGATGTAAACACCTGGGAGTTGACGGGGCTTTTTTGGCAAAGTCGATCTGGAGAACCAGGATCTTTTTTAACGTCATTTAAGAACACGTCGCTCTTCTCTTGAATGGAGGCCGCTGGCTTCAGTGAGGTACCCATCTGCTCGCTGAAACTTCTTTTATTTAGCATACTCTTGACCTGCGTGTGTGTTTTATGCACTGTATTAAATTTCGTTGATTGCATACAGTATATAATAATAATAATAATAAACAGATGTCCTGATTGGTTCAAAAATTAGGTCTAATTAGGATGAGCTCAGTTACCTACCTCCACATGTCAGGCCGAGTAGCGGGCACAGTGAGCGGTGGACCAAGATTATTAGGTTGTGGTGGAGGCTTGAGAGCATATCCCTCGTAGGCTAAACTTGAACCGTGAGATTGCTCTCCATGAATGTTGAGCATGGCCGCAGCAGGGGCGCTTAATGGATTCTCCTCCGCCTGGTAGTACTGCTTCCACGAGTTCTCTAGAACCAGTTGACCGCCGGCTAAAACCCCAAAAAAAAACAGCTATCGCGTTACTAACATGCAATGGTCAAGAAAAACTACTCTTAGTATTTGGACATCGACACAAGAAATCCATCTGATTAGCGGCAAGCGTATATAGCAAAATATTCGACAGCAAAGAGCACATTATAATTTTATATCTCAAAATTTCCAAGTAGATGTCAGATCTAAATGTGAACCAAGAATGGGTCTTTACACGTAAAGTTTGAGTCCTGAGTATACCCTATATACTAGAAGTGAAAAATTAAATTAGGAACATTTATTCAGAAGAACGTAACTTTCTACAAATATTTAATTTTGGAAACGCCTTCAATTGTGAGAACTATTACAGCTTCTAATAACAAAAAAGCAATTAGGGACGTAATGTTAGCCGTCTTTCTTGAAAGCTATACTCTACGTAGATGTATTAAGGAATGCTATGGTTGAACAGAATAAAAATAGAATGATATACCAAGCCTCTATTGTGGTCCTTACGAAACCACTCACCTGACTAGCGATAAAGCCGTATCAAACTGAATCTATTCTAACTAACAGGCCAGCATACCCCGATAAGCGGTAGGCTATTTTGGTCAAAATATTTTTATAAAAAAAAACTCTATTGTTATATAACGATATTATAACTGTCCTGCTTCTTATATTACCAACATAGTAGCGGAAGTGTACGTTATCCGGTGGTATCAAAAATCTGTTATATTTTGTCCTTTCAGAATATATTGTCGATTATCTGTGGAACAGTTATTATAGCAGTAAAGTGTTCAAAACCAGAAAGATATATAGCCATTATGAATTGACCTTTCTTGGCTTAAAAATATATTAGGTTGTCAAAAAGTATTGGCCAATTTAAGCTAAAATTAAAGCAAACGTTTTTTTATATTTTGAAATAATATTACTAAACCAAATGTGTGCCATTTTAGTCGATGACCTTTGCCATTTTTTGGTAACATTATTGGTAATCCCAATAGAGCAGAACCTCCGTAATTCTTGAGAAAAGATTGTGGCAAGTAATTCTTGCCCCACTGAAGTTAAAATAACACCATTAAGCGAGTTGTGCGGATACCGAAAACATGATAGTTTTATAATTCAAAATCCAGGCTATACGCTACAAATTATTCTTGTGTGTAATCCACTTTTCATCATTCATGATCAACCGCTTTAGAATAGCTCGATTTTATTGCGTTTCTGTAGAATTCCGTAGTTGGAAATAAGATCGAGTAAATTCTCTTGCGGCAATTCGTGTAGCACCAAAACATCGAGTTTTTTGTGGTCTGTTTTCTTTAAATGATTTAAAAGTGTTTATTGGTGGAAATTGAGTACTTTGGCGACATTATGGCTACTCATATATCAATCTTGCTTAACTTTCATAATAATTTCATCAACTTTTTGCGTAATTGTTCGGCCACTGCGAGAAGTATCTTTCGAAGAAGATCGATGTTTCCAGAATGAAAGCGGCAGAAGGACTTTGGGACCGTCTCTTCCGATAACGCGTCTTAAATAAAGACTACAATTTTGTTGGCCTAGGCAGCATTAAGAATAAGACAATCTGACCTTTATAGTAATAAAATAGTAGATACAGCAAATTTTTGTAGAAATTTTGCTTGTATTCAAGGCACTCTATCTTTGAATGAAGGCATTCCAACAAGTTCGCAGGTTCTCTACTGCTAAACACAGCTTGTAAACGACACCAAGACTGGCCCAACGCGACCTATATTACTCGCGATATGCAACTTTAGAAAGTAGAAAAACAATACTCTTTTTGACAACCCAATATATATATATATATATATACTGTACCAGAAAGACAGTATACGCATGGAAATTTTAGATTTCATGTTTGAGATATTAAGTAAGTTAGTCTTAATTATGGATAGTCTTATGTGTGAAATGTCAGATAAGATTTGACGCATCTTTAAACGAGCGGGTAATTCGGCACAAGCAGAACATGCGCACCTTACGACCGACCAGCATATGGCACTAAAACTGCAATTCTGCTGCGGTTGAAGCTGCCACATTACGTCTAAAAGTACAGTAGACAGATGATCCGTCTGTTCATCTTATGTCTTCCTTGAATACACACATATGAATGTCGCTACCCAAGAGCTGGCAGGTACGGATGCCAGTAGCTACTTGGCGCTCCAAGACGACCATTTCAATCAACAACACTGTTTAAAAACAACTCAAGCACAAAACAGGTATGAATGAAGTTGAAGGAAGTGTCCAATAAATAAGAAGTGATTGGACATCAAAGTGAAGTTATCAGATCGAACATATATAGCCTTAGGCTGCGAGGCTGTATAACGTCGCCATGATTGCTAAAACTATAATAAGGAAAAGTGTGTACTGATACATTTCCTAGAGTGGACACCCGTAAATAATAATGTTTCTGTTAAGTACATGTGTTACTATAAAACGAATCAAAAACAGAGCATTGAAAAGAGCTATTGCATATTAGCTGGTAAAAATATTGTTACCGTGTGGACAGTCAGCCGTAAAGGCAATCGCCGTCAAGGGTTAAGAAGCTGAGCATTCTGTTTGGTTGCGTCACGTTAGTGGGTAAGCATTTTTTTTGTTAGATATTTCCACGGGTTATGACGGTAAATGATGACTGTGATTATTTCATGCGGATATCTTGGTTATAGCAATGGCTAAATAAACGTGATCGGTCTTTCAGTTGAGCTCCTCATTCAATGAATGCTTGGTAATGAAGAAAAAAAAGAAAATTTACTGAACTACGGTGGGTTTGGTGTCATTGGAAAATTTGATAGTAGACCTTGCCCAGCAGATTCTAGCAGCAAATCTCTAGCTCTAAACACATGATCTTGATAAAGTCTTAAAGCGATTGCTGACGTCTGTTGGACAGGACCTTAGAATGTTGTTTAGCTTCCTGTAAAAGAAGCATGAGACTCAACAGAAAGTAACGCTTAGACATTTACTGTTAATGTTACCTGAAAGTTAACTATGCCAAAGAAGAATTCGCCGCGCATGTTTTAACTTCCGAAAAGTATAGAAGAGATTGAGAAAAGCTACCCATTGCAGTGCCACATAAGCGGTATAAGATGCTTCTGACATAAATTGTCAACGAAAAATGAATAATTAATTTTCTCTTCGTCTATTACTCTGGTTACGTCTCTCTTAACATTATAACCAATAAGAGCTGGATCATCGAGAGTAATAAGATGTAAGAAGTTTCGGAGAATAATCTTGGAAAATGCTCTCTTTTAATGTGACTACAGGCATATGATATCCATGGCAGTGCTTCTTCGAAGTAAAAAATGATGTATTTATGATTGATTGGAAGTTTGGTTTTGCAACGAATGAGACTTCCACACAAGTTATACTAGTTGATTTTTTACAAATTTATATACAGGGAACCATAAAAAAGGCAGTCGAGTTTTTGTATGTATTTGCGCAACATCCACTTGACTATTACATTTGCATCTTAAGTGTCTCATTACAAAGCAACTTCTTCTTACATGATCCCTCACTCGTGGTAGCAATGTAACCATTTACCACTGTTATAAGGGCCAAATAAAAAAAATAGGTGGAAATGAAGGGTTGCGTGGTAGTACATATGTATGAACCAGGCAGACGCCAAGGATAGTTATCTTGTGTAGCTTAGATTTAGATATGACATGAGACGAATCGCCTGCTTTTATTTCATTGTGAAACTGATGAAAACAATGCGACAGATAAAACTGAGTAAATACCACTGAAGCAAAGAGGTTATAATTTTATTTTTACATTCTGTAATTATGCCACTAAGCATTACTTTAGAATTACTTTAGGCGGGTCTTGTTAGATTTGTCATCTATATGAGACTGCTGTATTCAAGTTCTTATTAAATAAATATATTCAGGCATTTGAGATTGCTTGAAATGAATCAGTTACGTAATACAAAAGTGCCGTAAAAAGCATAAAAAATAATTAACATATGTTAGAGAGCTTTGGTATGTCTTAAAAGAATGGCATTTTAAAGACATGCATCTATATTTTGAGATGCGGATTTGTTAGAGTTTTTCTAACAGTAACAGGAATATAACGGTTTTTTTATCGAACGTTTTTCTTTTCTGCGGAAAATTTTATGGAGCTTCTACGCTTGAAGTACTGAGAGTTCTGAAAGTAATTGGGTCGAACACCTAGACAAGAGACATCTTTCATGGTAAATTTCAGCAAACATGCAGTATTCCTTTTACGCTGTATAGGATTTGAGACATGGAGAACACTGTATTAATTTTTTCATTAATATGTTGTAATGTATATAGAATCCTTAATGTATATAGTATCTACAATTTATATAATATCTTTTATTAGAACCAACTATGCAGCTTGAACAATTAACAAATGATATATGGAAGGGCGTCTATTAGGCGAACTGTCGAGAAACATACCGACGGGGATATGCGGAGTATTAGAGTGATTCTGAATTTGGAATTTCTGTAATAACGACTACTGTGGGCTGTGACTGTAACTGTAGTGGGTTGGTAGCGTCCTCTATAAGTAGTCTGTCGGTCTGCGGCTTTCTATCTGTCGCGACACCGCAATTGCCCACTGAAACCTCGAAGACCAACTTGAAGCTGTTCGGTGGCGAGCCAGACTACGATCGTTCGCCTTTTTCTAAACAGGTAGCAAGTGATCTTGGCCTGCTTGAAATAGTGGTCCAACTCTGGCAGCAGTAGTACAGCAACGACAATGATTTGCCGCCATCATCGCCACAACCATTAGTGGCGGCAACTGCAGCGAAACAGCGTTGACATTAGCAAAATCGAAACGAACATAACAACGGACAGATAAGATAGGCCATTTTTGGCCGCGTCTAGTGCCGCTGCCTCTGTCTGCTGACCTGCCGCTCCGATCTGCGGGTCTTCCGTTTGCAAACGACCGAAGCCTTGACGCAACAGAATGGCAGAATAGCACGTGCTCTCGTTCAACTTAAGGCAAAACAGCTACAAAGTATGGCACATTAAAAGAAAATATGAAAAGCTGCTTTAAACACGCAATGTTAAAGCTAATTTTGAGACCAAATTTCTCTCTTTCTCTCTCTCTATAATCGTGTTAAGCTCCGTAAACTTTACCAATCACTCCGGAACTAAATTAGAGAGACCAGTGGATGTGTATGTATTAGTCACACGATACATACATAAACAAAATCGATAAAATTATTAGCATAGAATAAAACGACTAAAAAAACGACTCATGTATCCTTAATCAAGAGGGAAACATCGACAACATTTATATATGAGTAAGCATGCGTAACATATATTATACATATAATTTCCATGTAATAAATGTGTGACTATTATTATTATAAATCGTATGTGGCTTTCATTGTAGTTAACGCATTCGGTGAGCACTATTTCGACGACACTTACTGTTCCACTAACGCGCTGATTGCTATTTCCGAAGACTAGGAAATTACTTATCATGTTCAGTTTCTCCAGTTTTTAAAACTACCGAGTTGCGCAATTTACTGATTGGAGTACTTTTAACGGACTTACTGAATATCCATAACTATAAAGTATGCTGATGTGACTTTCAAGGTATATATCAAAACTCAGGTACAACCAAATATTTACACAACATGATATAAAACTCAATTCCCTAAACAGAAAACAATAACGTTAAAAATAGTGTTTAATGTTCGAAAAGCCTTAGTTTATCAAAATTTAAATTAGGATTTATAGAAACGCCTAAATAACTATAGATGGGTGAGAGCTTTAGAATCTATACAACGCCATATCAACTAGATAATACAAGTTCGTATTTAGCACTGATACCCTCGCAATATGCCTTTAGGAATTACTTCTTTAATAAAAAGAATAAAAATAGGCGCAGAAATGGATGATCACTGGGCATTTTCCTAGCAAATTGAAGGTTGTAAAGTCTTAAAATAAAGCGTTTCTAAAGGCCGTGAAACTGAAGTTTTGTTTTCTGTCGAAACACAGCGTTTAGTACTACGTCATATGTATTAACTGCGTTAATGTAATCCTATCCTACACTAAGTCATAGCAGTCATCATTTAACAACTCTTTTTGAAAAGCATACCCTATAATATGATCCACCATCACTTTTCAAACATCAGACACGCAATAGATTCTTGGGCCACAAGCCTGTAATATTCAACATCTGAGGTGAAGTTTCCTTTATGCAATAGCGTGACAATTACGCGACAAGAAGACTGAGATATTTTGGTTTCAATTTACTGAGTTTTAATATATAGTGTTTAAGTCAGTGAAGATCAATTCACTGGCGAGAATGTTTTTAATCGGCTGTCACCACTAGCTTATCGTACCTGAAGTTCTCGCAACTCATTTAATCGTTTAGTTGCACTTCTAAAAATTTTTTGAGCTACAAAACAAAGACGCTGTGTCTGAAATTTACGAGACAGATTATTTTGAATTAACTCGAGTTAATTTGTACATTGAGGCACTGATGTTTTTGAATGCTCCTACGCGAACTATTGGTGTGAAAAATAAGTGATGTGCATATTACAAATATAAATCAAATGTTCTAAATTGTATGCCTCTGTAATAAGTGAGAGGGTGTTATATACAAAAACTTAGTCAACGAGATCTGAATCGGAGGTTAGAATAAGATAAGGAAAAGACGATGTGCTGTCAATGAGTCGGGCGCATCTGTCAACCAGTTGTATCAAACCATGTATTAAACATGCATTTACAAGCACTGCTTCAAAAGAACATCCTACATTATTGTTATCATTCCAGACAATGCCGATTAAAGTGTTTTTAGGTTATTATGAGAGTTGAATCTCAGGTCGAGTCAGAGATGGCGACGTATGAGCAACCTGCTTATTAAAAGATCAGTTTTTTCAATTGCTGTGATAACAGTATAAACAATGAGTGGCATCCAACTTGACTGTGCATTGATCTTAATAGATTCCATTGTTGTTTAAAGAGCAGTTGGGCAGGATCTGAAAGACTTTTGTATAGATGTAAGTTTCTTTGAAGATCCACTTTTTGGGCAAAAACTCCACGGACACGCATAATTATCGTTTAGGAATAGATCTGCATCGTGAACTGAATGTAGTCAGCTTGAGATCATTACTCTATTAAGGTCACTTAATGAACAGAAAGCATTCGACGAGCGCTTGATTTGTAGATAAAAGAGACGTAAGAATACAAACCTTTAGAGCGACTGGAAGACAAAAAAGGTAGGTTATGCAAGATTTCTCACCAGTACATCTGTTCATGTATATGAAAATGTCTCTCTGGACCAGAGCATTAATCGGATGTCTGTTCACAAGTGGAGGAACAGAATGGATTAGAAAACCCCTAATCCACAGCAATGATTATGATCTTCCTTTTCGGTCAGTTGGATCTTACGAATACGGCTCTTCCTCGGGTTCATCAAGTAATCACTTTTAAAAGTAAACACGGAGATTCTTACCATTTGCTGTGACGGTAGGGAGCGTAGCGTTGGCCGTCTGTGAAGCTCCCTCTGGCATCACGAGAGCCATCCGGGGCAGCCGGCACGCATTGCCTAAAGACCTGACCACCTGCACACACTTTTTTAACACGGATTTTGTCACCAAATAAAAATCACTTTCTTTCACCAAACTACGTTCTATCGATCCAGTTGGTTTCAAGTCAATCTTGTGGTTTCTCTATTACATTAAATATTCGCTGTTGCAATAAGGCCAGTGCTATATTGTATATCGGGTGCTGCACGTAAAAGTTCACCAGACTTGGTATGCCGGATATAACGACTTTAATTAGTACGACTCTCCATATGGTAATTTTGTATGATTAGTCGAGCTGGAAAACCGCTAAAGCTGGGGCAGTTCCTGTTGTTCTCGATGAGTAGCGATGTCGAATCCCTGGAAACACCAATAGAAGGTCGCTTAAAGTTTGATTTAACAAATAAGAATTGAAAATGCATGTAATTTCTAAATCGAATAGGTCGACTGGCAGCACTTCGATGATTTTGGCAAATTGATCGTATCTTATGTAAGTGTCTTTGATGATAATTGTGTACACAAGCATTAGAATCTATTTGATGACTTCTATAGTTGAAATATGGTTGCTGAGGCATACAACCTATGAGTTGTCGAATGTACGACAAATGCACGTCAAAGATACCAGAACGACTGTGCAACTAATGAAGAACGACTTGGGGATCATCTCCGAGGACACACATGCAACTTTGGCAGAAATGTTTAAAGTTTTCTCCAGCACCCCACTTCTGAGCACAGGTGATCCCGCCAACCAGTCGCACAACATGGGAGAGGGCCATTTTTGAGAACAAAAATCCTACTGCTAGTTCTAGATCCGACACTCAGTCCTACAGGCTTCTCTCCAATGCTTAACCATCGGGTACGTAGAGTGTATTTGAATTGAACATCCCATCCGCATTCTCTCGCTAAGCTGCAAGTTCTGTCTCCCCCTATCAATACCGTGATGGGACCGAGACGAACTCAAAATCACGATCATCCCATCAACGAGAACATCGATCATTTTCTGGCAAACGCATAGGCACAAAAATCGAACTCTACTGCCTGTTTGAGTAGATTGGCAGTCTTCAGTGGCAATGTGAAGTCCTTGAAAGTAGTGTCTGAAGCAGTCGATTAGATTTTTATTGGCAATCCATAATGATAGCTACTAAACATTTACGCTCTCGATTGGCCAAAAAGTGATGGGGATTTCTTTAGGAACGCCGACACGGACCCAGGACAACTTGATGCGAATATGTATTAAAGCTAGACAAGCGAAAACACTGAGAAGTCTACAAGTTTGGAGTCTGAAACAACCAATGAAACTATCAAAGAGGATACAAAAGAGATTACCATAATCCTTTAGAATATGGTGTTGAAAAGCACACAATTAGATATAACCGTATGTGTTGCACATTTTAAGTCAAGCAACTCTGATTTCCTTTGATAACCAAAGAGCAATAATCCATATCGTAATTATTAGTGGACAAAAAATCAAACGGAGTCAGTATGCCAACTACGCGTTTTATGTAATGAAGGGGATAATGTAAAACTACTTGGCCAAGCATGGTCGCGCAGATAAGCACATAAAATTAGAACTTATAAATGAGGAGTTTTCACCGTACGTTCACTACACTAAATTGCAAATAAAATGTAGCTACTAAATAGTTTAGCTTATGCAACATAAGCTATATAGAACAACTTGGAACGGCACCTAAACTAAAAACAAATGACAACACTTTTTAATTAGGCCCGGTGAAGTGTTACTTTATTGGTCAGGTTATTAAAACTCGTGGAAAAATCGATGAGAAGCAATGATGACATGATTGTAACGCTAGTAAAAGTTTAAATAAATAATTGTGGGTTATTCATGGATAGATGGCAAACGTATCATATATTGGGCACTTAACTACTGTAAGTCGGTCTAATGGCCAGAATACTTGAATAGCCAATATTCAACAAATTCCGGCTGCAGAAAAACAGAAACTAAATCAGAGCAATCAATGGTGATGGCCACATCGTTAGAGCGTCTTCATTAATCATTCCGGTGAGCTCAATTGAGCTAAAAAAAAATTCTTCAGCACACGCGCGTTCCACTATTACCACTCTTATTTTTTTTATCAGAACCATCAAAAGCAGGCAACTATATCGGATACCACAGAAGTCGGTATCAAAAGCATTAATCATTCAACTTTAAATTATACAGCCGATAACGGAGTACGGGAAAGAATCATGATTCTTAATTCAAGCGTGCTGGCGAATCCTTTACTCGAGATGAGTTTCTTTTTCTAGTTAGGGCTTATTGGTGGACAGATAATGTTTAGGCCGATTAGGGGGCCTTTTCAAATCTTCACCGTTCTCTTTGGGCTCCAAGCTAACTTAGTAGAACGTTGTGTATCCGTTCGCGACAATTCTGTAGAGTATTGGTTGGCACTGGTCAACAACATGAGTGACATAACTAGCCATAGCCAAACCGAGCTAAAGCTCTAGGCTATTGCTAGGACCTACCTCCGTGGCGCTTTCTAACCATTATCAGTACCACATTTTTGCCTCTTTTTCCTATGACAAAGCCCTGAAGCGCAATGAAGGTTTTTGGGAACAAAAATAGTATGGCACTAGAGCAAGATTTCGACTCTAAAGGAGGCCATGGATACCACGCTCTTTTTGTGTTCTACAGTACTGAAGTTAAAAAAGAGGGTTGTGCTCTTCACTAATTCAGGCCGAAAGCATTAAGAGAATCATTGGAAATTGCTGGGGCATTTGTGCACTCCTTCGAGCTCTGTGTCGATCTCGATGCCTATGCACTTCAGTGAACAAGAAGATTAGGGGCAGCACTACTGCAGGTGCACCATCCTACGTTCTCCCTCCGACCTAATAGCTTTGCTGGTTGTGTAATCAATCAAGACAGCGTCATGAAAGGAAAATGGCGTGAGATCATTGAAGAGCGAACAATATTTTCTATATTTGTCAGTAGTCAATATCTATGGAAAGAAAAACCGATTGTTATGTTTTCCTTAACCTTAAGTGAAAAAGGTACTTAACTACTTAACGCTAATCATATTGCGTTTTTCTGTCGAAGTATATTGGAATTCTGTGGACTTATCGAAAGTCATGTATCAATCTACTTTTCCGCAAAGAAAAGTAACTTCAACACTGAGTACTCCTATAGCGCTCTTATCATGTGTCAATTAATAAAAGGCATGATTTTTAGAATTGAGCAACACGAGTGCTTAATGCAACTACATTTTTTAAAGTAACTTAGATAAAATAACCAATGTCGTAACCGATTCCTAGAAATGAATCCTTTACATTCTCTCCTAACAGCACACAACAAAGATACTTACCTTGTTAGGCCTTGCATCTTAACCATAGAACATCATAGGTACAGGTATTCCTTTAAGTAGTTTCGTGCTTTAACTAAAATTTGAAGTGATAGCTGTTTACAGCAATTTGCTTTTGTAGCCGCTCTAGATCTATAACTTCTTTATGGGTAGGGAAAATTAGTATAGTTCTCATAAAGGATTAATTATCTAACTGCCGCAAATTGTATTGCGTGTGTGCATGAAACGCTTTTAAAATCGGTCGTATTTTGTCTCCGAATAAATCGATAGTGGGCAACTTTGGAAGCTTCTTTGGTCAATCTAGGAAGCAATTGTGGCATGACGATAAAATCTGGAAATTTCTCCTCAGGGCGACGCCATTCTTTCTCATGGTCTTTCTTCGATTAGTGGTAGATTTCCGCATTTTTGGTATTTGGATTATAATTCTGTTACACGTTATATGTGAAGTGCCAGTTTTGGCCAACAGAGCTTTTTGACTCCAAGCACTGTTTTCATGAAAAGTCTTCTCGATTGTGGCAACGCGTTCTTGTCCTTCGACTCATTTATTCGTTGGTGTTCAGCACTCTAATTTCCGTTCTTGAAATGTTTGCACCATTCACTTCCGTGCTTTCACTTAAAGCTTCCTTGCTTGGTGTCTATACCAATCTTTAATTAATTTTCGCAGTGTATGTGTAAAAAACCACTGATTTTTAAAAAACCATTGATTTTTGAAGATAAAAAAATGTTTTCTCTACTTTGAACTGATCTATTATGGGGTAAATTGAGTCGATTTTTTGGAAGACTGGGCTATTTACCAACCAAATTTCATCTCCTTGAGGCGCGTAGTTCCAATGTTATTTAATTTTGAAATATGCCGGATTTGCTTGTAATAGCCTAATAATAGTTTTTCGATCATCGTTAAAATTCGTTGAGATCTTCCTGTTTGTTTGGCCCTCTCTTTTATTTCATAATTAACACTATAATAAGAACTTAAAAAAAAAGTAATTTTTTTTAAATGTCTTTTGAAATATTTGTGAACTTGAGAAAAATAGAGTAATTTGCAAGGCTTTTCATAAGCTGAGACAATCAAATAATTGAAGAAAAAGGGCCGCATTGTTTGTCAATGTTGTTCACACCTTGTTTCCTTTCGGTCTAGTTCCTATTTCTGCATTGCCTGACATAACTACTTTGTGAATTACAGCGAGTTTGCTTGTCACAACTATTCAATTAGCATCTTTATTTAACTCAGTTCCTTGTTATTTCTGTCTATCTATATTTGTTACTCGTTTTATTGTGTCAACTATCATTCATTAGCAGGTAGGGCCTCCCAAATACTTGTGATATCTGACCGTGCTTGTATTCTGTGTTTTTGTAGCCCTATTTAGGTATCCGTATTTCTAAAATTAGTTCTGCCAGATGCACTGTAAATATGACGACTAAAGCTCGTTACTTTCAAATTCATTTGAACTTCTGACGATACCCGTCGATTCTCATGAATCTTCTTCCTAAATGCTTTTCATCTAAAAGCCTTTGCTGCTCTTCTTTTCGCATCATCAGTTATGCATCATTTTTTACTGATTCTCGTCATTTTTACATTCCTAGGTAAAAGATTCTCTTGAGTGAACGACAGGATGTTAAATAGTAAATGCTTATATACGTGTCATACAAGTTTATACTCAGTAGGACATCACATTAGTTTATATTTAGAGGTTCTTTATTGGTCGGGGTTTCTCTTAAAAAACAAATGCGCATGAATCAGATATAGCTATCGAAATTCGCTGTAATTCTCATAATATTAATGCCAGTTTTCAACTGGCAATGCGTAAACGGATATTTATTAAATTTTCCTCAAATGTGTCGTTTCTTGGTTATAAATAAACTTATGTTTGATTTCTAAATATTATGGCGATCACGACGCCTTGACAGTCATACAAGTACGACAATTACGTATGTAACAAATTCTTCCCTTAAATGCCTACTCTTAGAATCCATATAGAATTGTGCTATTATCAAGCAAACGATCCCGATATTTGTGTCTATAGATCTGCTATAAGGACGCTCTTGCCA